GTATTATAATGATGATCCCTCGTTATATTATCTGGTATCATAAAATGGAGCACTATTATTGTTACTGGCATTGTGTATTTTATCAATTATAGTTGATTGTGATATTTGTTTTAATTTGTGATGGATAATTCGTTGAAGAATTTAACTATTATGAATGGAGATAACTTTCATACCTTTGGTTTTACGTTAGCAACACTCATGAGAGTATTGTACCGCTGGTTAATTAATAGTTAGTAAAAACCAGAAGGGCTGCTCGTGTGATTCTAGTGTATAGTGCAGTGCAGTGTAGTATGTAGAAAAAGACAGGAGCTACAGTCTTATGGGTCCATTCTGCAGTTGATTGGGTGCCAATGACTATTAGCTGAATTAATGCCTGACTAGCTATCATACATGTTTATAGGCTAAGAGGATAGTAATGCATGGTGTAATTACAGTATAGGGGGCATATTTCACCATCACTAGATGTACTATGATGTCATGGGGATTTAACTTCGCTAATTTCACAGTTTTAAAATTCAAAAAAAATTCCACCAACAAAAACAGACATTTGTATCTAGGTTGCAAACAGTAAAAAAAGATTAAATAACAGGGTAACAAAAGGACATAGGAGAGAGCAATAATAGAACAAGGCAGAGCAGAGAAGTCAAGGTTTCTTTATTGCATGTAGAATGCACAAAATTAGACATCAGAATTAGATTTGTGCAGGAGATATACACATCAAATGACATAATATCACACTATTATTATTTTTGTAATATGAATTGGTGCACAATGATGTGCACCTCCAAAAATTGGGTATTGCCTTATTCCAATATATGCACTACAAAGCTTGAAGGAGCTAGAAAAGCACTGCTGCTTTTATACACCCTTAACTCAAAAAGGCTATTGTGGGTGCAGCAAAGGCATTTGATTCACCACAAAAATGCAGGAAGCCATTGATTGATGATTTTGATTCATAAAATTGACCATACCATACAGCTAGAAAATTCCATGGAGTATTTAATTTTGCTGATTTTGTGGGTAACTTCTTAACCAATAAAATTAATACCATGGAAATGCTCACTGCACATGCGCAACTTATAATTTATTCCATTTTAAAAATGAAGATAAACAACATAATAATAACACTAATAATTGGTACAAATTACATAAGACAGCTGATTATGTGTTTTGGTACTGCTACATTACTTTGTAAATCTTCACAGTACCTTAAGTGCATAGGATAAGGGTGATGAGAATGCAAGCAATTCTTAATAAAATCAGTTACACCAGTACTTTTCAGTACATGGCAGTGATAGTCCCTTGATATATATTCTGTGGAAAATACCTCTCTAACATAATATATGTCGTTTTTATGGACATATATATACTTAAGTAAAACGAAGGACGGAAAATCTGAGACCTCACTAAGAAGGAGACAGGGTTTTTTAATCAAAATCGTCCCAGCTCGCATCCATTTTACCCTATAGAGCAAATTAAATATTAAAACACATGCACCAAAACAAATGGACATACATCTGAATATCATTCCCTTCGATATCAAGCAGTTGCTGATGTCCGTTCGCAATGTTACAACTAATTACTACAAAGAATTAAGATAAAGTACATGTAATTTTAAGCACAAAACACAAACCTGGTCCAAGAGAAAAATCAGCATCTGTGTTATGCAAATAATATACTTGCATCATCTGATGCCTATTAGCCAATGTTTTGGCAATATTAATAAAATTCCCACATTTTTGGGAAATATTCTTAAAATACTGGTGCTTTGCCTCAAATCTACATATAACAGAACAACAATTCAACTGCAGTAATCAATTTAGATGTAAATACCTCATTGTCCACAACTTAACCAAAGGACCATAACTACACAAGACAACAATACATAATCATAAAATATACAATGTACTCACAGCATCATCAGCCTGGGCATATGGACCATGTAGTGCATCTTTGGAGTTACTGCAACAAATGGGTACAACCTGACAAACTCTTCATGGTGGTCCTCAATTAATACCTTAAAATACATGTATATCATAATTAAATTTAGTTTTGTGATAAATACTTTTAAATATAGACAATCCTCATCTGTGATAACAGGAGACAGGAGATAATCTGCGATTTTAAGCAACAAAACAAAGTTCTCCCAATTATTGTTGCCAGGTGGTATAAATCGGTAAATCATAAGGGGCAACAAACGACATAAAAGCCACATTTGTGATGCTATAGTAAAAATAAAGTCCACTGCATATTAAAAATCTTATTTATACCTGACTGTCCCAACTTCCTAGATGCTTCTCTAATGTAGTCAGATGCCAATGGTGATGGTTTATCACAGCTTTTCATAAAGCCATACTCAAAGTTCAAAATAATTTCGTTTCAATTAGATAGAGTGAAATACCGTTCTTCATAAATGAAGTTCTGCCACATATATTTGGTTTCTAGAACCATTACGCCTAAAGATGTGTAACGACTACAAACATCAAAAAACTAATAATGTACCTTCCAGTATGTCGTGCATTACATCTGGTATCAATCCACCATTACACATGTTAAAGTATTTCAGTTTCAGGAGAGGACTAGTAGAGTTTACTCCATACTCCCTTGATGCCTAAATTTGCATTAGTTTCATAAATAAATATAATACTGTTACCCTATCATCTGAAGCCACAGACTGACAATGAGAAAGATGCTCCTCTTGAGTACGTAGCACTAAATTTCTTTCAGAAAACTATCATTCAAAATAAAATTAACAATGGTGAGCATGGAATTTCTAGCTAATTTATAAGCAACACACCATGTGTCTACATAATGCATTGAGCACAATGGAAAATATTTTATGGGTTAACATTTGTGAGCACCATAAAAGTATTCGTTACTTATGTTCACAGAAAAACTTGTAATATCATATAAATGGATACAGTATCTCCATAAATAGTAGGGCAATAGTCAGTTTGGAGTAGTAAGGCAACTACATGTATATGATCAAAATATCCATAACAAACCGATTTACAGCATCTTAACTTTTGTGTGTAAGTTCATTCACATAAAGGTGTTAATTGTTGTTACATTACTTTGAAGTACACTGTCCATATGTCTACATATACTGTACATGTATGTACCTCTGATGAAAGGTCACTGATCATACAATGCCTGCAACCTCTATTCGCTCTTCCTCCCTCTTTGAATCCTCCTAATGAGCTTGATGCTGGATTGTCAGCAGACACAGCTGCTATCGAGCCTTTAATTTCAATTTGCCTGCCATTTAGGTTTATTTGGTGTCCTTCTTCCTATACAGTTAATTACCATGACATAGCACACAATTTGGAATTATGACTTACCAGTTTCTTGATATCACTCACAATATACTCTAACACTGAAGCCATGGAGTACCTTTTGATTACAGATGTCAGGGCAATAGCTGCCAAATGAATGTGCCTTAGTTGGCTTCTGTTGTTGTAATTAGCAAGGGTATAGTAAAAGACACCTTTAAATGAAGAGTCAAATCATTTTTTACCATTCAAAAATTAGAGTGTCTATATCTATCACAACTAACCTAACTTATGAATACTCTTTCTAGAACCTAAAGGATTGCATAGTTCAAGGTCATCATAATACAATATGATTTGCAATGCTCCATTATCCATAGAAAAGAGAGGATTTTCTCTACTTAGAGCTCCATCACAAAAATCCCTCTTATACCCATCAGTGCTAAAATGAGGTGACTGAATCTACATGTAGACATAACACATATGTTATACATGTATATACACAATGTACAACTTTAATTCATTAGTCAAGTACCTGTGAAAAGGTTTCATTGTCTTGCATTATTCGTTCGATATTCTCTAGAATAGGGACATACATAATGGTATCATTGACTCTCTTCTTTCGCCTCCTCCTTGACGTTCCAGTTACTTTCCATCGACTACCCAAAGTTACTTCTATTGGTTCCTGTGCATAAATGTATAATAATTTTGTTCACTCGTAATTCTACATGTACATGTTTATTTACCACAACGTGAAATCGTTCCTTAATGACCTTATTCTGTTTGTACCCAGACTTTACATCAGCAAAGATCCCATAGTACTTGTTCAAAATGCCGGACACGTTGGGTTCAAACTGTTTCAGGTTAGCTGTCAGGTCAGAAAGTATCCGCAAAATAAAACCTTCCATATCATGAACCAAATCTTCAACAGTTGAAACAGGAAGCTTATACATTTCTCTGAGCTTCAAGACCCATAGAGCTGTTATATCTTCCAAATTAATGTCAGGTTCTTCCTAAAAAGTGATCAAAGGGCTTATATCAAATAGGTTCAAAAAGTCAGGACAGCAGTAATTACATGTACATGTATGTTTGACAACTAAATGATTATTACTTGTCTGGCCGCGCCTTATTACTGTTAGTGTTGTTTTGGTTTACTATAACTAAAACTAAAAGTACTTTTAGTAAGCCATTTTACTTTTAGTAAACTAAAACTAAAACTGAAACTAAAAGTCATTGGAGGTTTAAACTAAAACTACAACTAAAACTAAAAGTTAAACAGAGTAAAAGAACTAAACTAAAACTATAACTAAAAGTCAATGTTTTCAAAAAAAAAATAAAACTAATACAATTACATGTTATAAACCAAAATATATTTTAGTTAGTTACAGGTCATGCATGCATATGTTATATACACCTGGTTACCACACTGTGCTTGTAATTTTAGAAAATGGCTAGTGCTATGGGATATATTTACTCAATTTTTTACTAAAACTAAAACTTTTCTTAAGTACTAAAACTAAACTAAATTTATTTTGAAAGGGAAAAACTAAAACTAAACTATAACTAAAAGAAAATCAAAGTCTGAAACTAAACTAAAACTAGAACTAAAACATTATTCAAGTTCCAAACTAAAACTAAATTAAAACTAAAAAGCATTGAAGAATTAAACTAAAACTAATACTAAAACTAAAAGAAAAGTGACCATTCAAACTATAACTAAAACTATAACCAAAACAAATGTTCATACCAAAACAACACTAATTACTGTACATAATCATTTGCAATATCATGAACTATACCATCTAAACTGGCTAGGCTTTTGTGGCCACAATCTTGGATTACCAGAATAAACCATTATTTTTTAGACTGATTAATGCAATTTGAGAAAAGTAAAATCTATCAATTATTTAACATTTCACTAAAATATAACATGTATGATTCTAAGACAAACCAACATTTCACTTCATTTTGCCATAAGAGTAAAATCAATCTTTAGTCTTTTGTATGTGTGCAGTTCAGAGTATTACTCATAAAAATGACTTACATTCACATCGTCATCCAAAGGTCCATTAAAATCATCTTGCAAAGGTCCATTTCCATCATCTCCTCTATTCCGATTTTCATTATCATCAGAAACTTCTCTTGATGCTTTGTCAGAAGCTTCATTATGAATTGAATCTAGACAAAAACTACTAATAACATTGTGAAGATTGGCAATGCTTTACTTGTGCCAGTGGCATGTCCATGATGTGCGTAGACATGATCTCGAAAAGTAGTGAACTTTCTAAATGATCTACCACTAGTGGTACAATGTAGTCCAAGATTACAACGAATCAAGCTCCCCTCATGAACAAGTCTTACATGAGACAGGTAAGCACGAAGAATGTGAAATTTCTCACTACAGTCATGAAAAGGGCAATCCATGATAATAAGGTAGATCTACTGCAACAACTTGAAAAGAACACTGGAATTGTAAAAGAAGGTCTGAGTGTAGTTTTGAAAAAAACTAGTAAGTAAGAAACACTACCGAACACACAGGAACACACTACAAACTCCAGCAGCCAACTCAAAACTTCATTAGTCAGAAACAGAAAGCTCCGCCCTGCTGGTGTTATAGGCTTAGAGTTCACTGTCCCGTATCTATGGAGTGAGTCAGTCCCAGTTGTCTTGGACAGCATTAGCCAGTCCATTTCAGCTTTGGGTAGCGATCAACTGCAGTGCTCTGAGACCGAGTATTTAAATCTTTCCAGCCTAAAGTCCTTCAGCTTCTCACTCCCGAGTTTCTTGAACGACTTACGTGTCTGTAGTGATTGATGTATATATATAGTAGTCAAGGCATGAGCCAAGGTAGTGATGAGATGAGTGACAGCATAAGTGCATTGATACATTTTGTTTTGTGAATGGGCTGGTGGGTATGTATTATTCATTGTCACTGTTTAACTTTGAAATTTATCACTGTACGGTATTATGACATATATACACATATTTTTGCTGTCGAAATCAAGTTCGTAACCATAATGGAAGAGCCTTCAAGTATAAATTGTACATACCTTAGATGATTTAATAGTATGTTTTTAAAATTATGTGACACACTGATGACAATTATAGCAATGATTCCTTTTTGATGCCTAGGCTGCCAAAATTATTTTAGAAGCTATTGCTGTTTTTTTACTGCTAATATTTGCTTTAGTCTTTAAAAAATTTGTGTTTTCAATGAAAATGTGCTCAAAATTATTCGTTCGAGCTAACTGTACATTATTTAACATGTATGCTATATAATGTGCTATATCCTTGATGTCTTTAGTGATCGTAAACTTTTCTGATACTACCTTTACTTTTTCACTCTATGTAATAGTTTTTAAATTGAATCTAACTCTGACCTGATATTTATTGTGTGTTGATGGAGAATAAGTTGTT